TTCATATCATTTTAATACAGCTAATTCAATACTCAGAAACATGTGTTCATATTTATTTCAAAAAGGAAACTAACTTTACTGTGCAGTAAAATGATAGATGAAGGAGCTTAGTTAGCAAAACAGACTCCATATTGCTGCTTGACCCACCTGCCTGCCCTTTAGATGAACTCAGAGAGAGGAAGCTTAGAAACCTCCTTGGCCCTTAGAAAGTCTCTTTAGAAACAACAATTAATCAACTATTGTTTTACAAATGTTCTAACGGCAGGATGTTCCACTTCTGTACCTTTAGCTTGCTTTGCTACTTCTATCCCATAGGGGGGCCTAGAAACTGTTGGCCTCAAAGGTGTATAAAACAAACTTGTTTGTCTCCCCCCAGTCGGGGCTCAAGTCTGATGCTCAGCTCCGGTCCCGGCCAGTAATAAACTCCTGTGTGGATTTAATATCAGTCTCTGGTTGGTTCTCTCTCGCTGGGTCTAACAATAGACACCAATTTAACTAAATGTAGCTCAAAATAACCTTACCAAGAATGGAACAGGCACGAAGGACACTATGATGTGGTATAACTAAACTGACACTACATTATTTATGCAAAAATTCTGTCACTAGGAAAATTAATTTTACAGAATAGCTGGCTTTTACTCTTCAAACTGTCACGGTAAAGAGAAAAATCAAAAACCAAAAATGAAACAAGAACAGCTAAAAGGAACTGCTCTGAATTAAAGAATACCAAGGAGACATGATGACACTATATTGTGAGGGGTAAGCACATACAGCTCAGTGTAATAGTGCTTGGCAAATATGCACAAGGCCCTGGGTGTGATCTCTAGCACCAGAAAAAAAAATTAAAGATCCTGGATAAGGTTCTGGATATGATTTCATTGTAATGAAAGGATATTATTGGGACATTGTTGAAACTGGAATGTGGAATAAATTGTTTAAGAATCATATATCATTGTTAAATTTGTTTGATAGCTCTACTCTGATTATTAAGAGAACTCCTTTGTTCTTAGGAAATAAATACTAGAAGGAAAAGGGCATGATATATCCAACTTATTCTCAAATGTTTCAAAAAAAATACATTTATGTGGTCAACAGGGCGAAATGCTAACAATTGAAAATGTGAGTAAAAAAGGTAAATGGGAGTTAGTCTATATCTGCAACTTTTCTCCACATATTAGGTTATTTTTAAAAAGTTTGATGAAATAATGATAATCTGAGTCTAAAATGTTCAAATTAACATTTAGTTTTGAAAAAGTACAAAAGCATCTTTAAGAAGAGATAAAGGTGCAAAATAACAAGGTTACATGTTAAAAGGAACATTCATTCAAAACTTTTAACTCAAAAACAGGTATGGCAAATATCCTAACCAAAGTGTTTTCCCATTGGAAAAGGTTTATATATGAATGATGTATAAAAAGTAGCAAGACAAATCACTAAACGTGTTTTATATCCTTTTATATAAATGCATTTGTAATAAACTCTCTACATAAATCATTATTTACTTCCTCTGAAATTAGAAGATTTGGAATTTCTTACATTGCCATATTTCCTAAGGACACTGTAATTCCTACAGTCCTGAGAGAAATCTTGCCTCTATCATCTACAGGGAGCATCCCTGGCCTGCCCTACTCAGTATAGAAAAACAGTCACCACATGCTTTGATTTGAGGAGTATCACCCAGGCCTGTTAAGTCCAAAATAATGCCCTCCACAGTTCTCCCCCAGGACTACCTACTTTGAAATATCACTATTGAGGCCAATTATTTGAATGGGGAAAATCCTGATTTATGTCTATTTGATTAGAAAAGGTTACATTAAATGTGACCATTCCCTGAAAGGACTGAGGCCTGTGAGCTTGTAAGTGGAGAATAAAAACAGCTAACATTCTGAGTTAACACTGTGGTATGGCTTTACATGAACCATCTCATTACTTAAAGCAACTTAGGAGGGATTCGTGAGGCTTGTATTTTATAAGGTTCACCTGGGAGACTTGTTAACTGCAGAGAATGCTGTACCTCATCATCAGATATTCTGATCAACAGCGAGTGTTGCTGATAATGAGTCTCAGGCCACATTAACATGCTGACATAGTCTATATCATCATCCTCATTTTTCAGAGGCTCAGTAAAACTACACAGCAGATGATTCCTATGTGATAGTATGAAATATGATTTGGTCTTTGTCCCTGATTCCATCACAGAGTTCCTAAAATGCTTTGAATTTCCTGATAGGATGTGTATTTTGTTATTCACAATGAGTCCCTGTCATAATATTTAGTTCAAGTCACAAGGTAGGGCCCCAGATATCCCAAAATAAACCTGTCTCCACAAATATACAAGTGATTAGAGGATTCAAGAATTGGGACTTTCAGCCCATTAAGCTCTCTAAAAACAAGGATATTTGATGACCTTCCAGGTTACAAAATTTGTGGACCTGCTGGGAAGGCGTGAGCCAGAGTGGGTACAGAACCTCTCTGCTACACCCCCTAACGTCTTATCTATCTCTTCTATATGGCTGTTCCTTCACGAAGTCCTTCATAATGAACTGATAAATGTAAGCATTTCCCTGGAGGCGGTTGGTCCTGGGTACCCTGATTTACAGCTGGTTGACCAGAAGCTGAGGACACAACCTGGGACTTGGAAATGGCCTCTGAAGTGGAGGCAAGCCTGTGGGATTGAGTCCTTAGCCTAAGGGACCTGACAAAGCACGATGACTGCTGGAAAATTGCTTGGTATGTAGGGAAACATACCCACACATTTCTGGGGCCCAAAGTGATAAAGGGTGTTGAGTATGAATAAAGAGAAAAAAAGTTTTGGTTTTTCCTTTAGGGATCCTTGAATGCACCACAGGAGCAAGTTATGAGATCAGTTAGCTGTCACCTTGAGACACCAATGTTGGGAGCAATGCTACATAATTCCAGGGAAAAATCATTTGAGTAGGCCTAGTTCTCCTGCCTACAGGCCAGCTATAACATTTCAGACATAATTGCATTTTGGCCTCCGGTCACAACTGAGACCTCAGTGATCCCGGGATGCTGTAATCTCCAGGACAGGACCACACCTGCGGGAGACACCAGGGAGAAACCAAGTCTTCATCTGCATAGTTCCTCATTGTTCTTAAGATTTCCACTGCCCCCCAGTCTTTTGTTACACTTTGTTTATCCCAGTGTGAAGTACTGAACTCTACATTTCACTTGTTACATTTGTTTCCCCGTGTACTGAATAAAAGGTGCTGCAAGCATGGGGGGCTTTTGTCTTTGCTGCCCAGAGCAGCACTGATCAGACCCAAAGCTCAGCTTCTTCTCATTTGTCTACCTTTCCAGTAATTCGCCGTGTGCTGCCGTGGCTCGCAGGAGACTTGGACTTACTGCAGAGGTTCTGGTAACATCCCCTTCCCCTGTTCCCTACACACCAAGACTTTCTTCCTGTGAAGCTAGTAAATAGTCTGACACTGACTATAGGTTAGAGATAAGGATGCCAGGCCAGCACATCCAGAATTCTAGCAAGAGCGATGGAATTCTGTGCTTCCAGTCAACTAATGCTATTCATATTCTTCCGTTTAGAATGAAAACTTTCCTTTTAAAACTTATGTCCTACATTAAATTGTTTGTTTCTAACACAAAATATCTCTCACTTTCACCATTTCAGGTGCTTGGTAACTGTCCTTGAATAATACTCTAAGACTGCATAACTCTGTAATCATAGAACTCCCCTAGCCCCACCTGTGATTGAATGTGAGTAAATAGATAAAGATGCTCCTTAGTTCCCAGACACTAGATAAGATCCCTATCAGTCATAATTATCCAACCCTTTGTTCCAGACACCACTATCTATAGACCAATCTACAAAGCATCTGCTAACAGTACTTGTCAGGCTAATTAACATACAAATGTAAGACCACTAAACCTTTGTTCCTTCTTCTGTAAATTTCGCCTGTTAACTCCCCTTCGAGCCCCTATAAAAAGAGCCTCAACTCTGGACTACACCTCTCTAAGCTACTTTGCTTTAGGAGTGCCGTCTGGCCAGACTAAGGTCTGTTTCACTTTCCAACTTGTCCGGTGTGTTCCTTCCCGGGTGTTCTTCGCTGCAGTCAGCTCCTTGGAGCATTTGGTAAAGACAGCGGTCTTACATTCTGGAGGCACCGCTGGGATCCCCGGATGTGCTCCACTCCAGCTCCTTGGAGCATTTGGTAAGGCCTTTGGTCTTACATTCTGGAGGCACCGCTGGGATCCCCGGGTGTGCTCCACTCCAGCTCCTTGGAGCATTTGGTAAGGCCTTTGGTCTTACATTCTGGAGGCACCAGTGGGATCCCTGGGTTTGCTTCACTATAGTCAGCTCCTCAGAGCTTTTGGTAAAGACAGCGGTCTTACAATAGAACAGCTTCGATGCCCCATTTTACCTACTTAGAAATCCACACTGCACATTTTTTAAGAGTTCAAGAACCTTAAGATATTTTCCATTGCCAAAAAACAAAACAAAAAGAACAACAACAAAAAATCACATAAACTCCAATAACTAAGGCTTTGTTTAAATGAAGTGCATGTCATTAAACACTAGTGGTAATTTGCATAGAAAGGAAATGGCAAGATATGAATTCAAGTACTACCGGAGAATTGAGCTAAAGTTGAGGATTTCTGTCTATAAAACACATTCAGATTTTTCTTTTCAGTAAGTCATCACCAACTTTTGCAAGACAATATAACAGCACAATTTTTCCAAAATAGTTCTGTGTAGTTGGCTATATGCACTCAACTTCCAAAGTTACAAAAGAAATTTCAAGTGGAGTTTCGTGGTGAGGCGTCAGGGCGCCCCTCGGGGTTCTACCTTTCACCGGGTTCTCTGGGTGGCTCTGGACCCGCGATGGTTGCCAGGCTGCTGGGACCAAGGCGGCCCCACCCCCGGGTGGCGCGACGGGAGGCTCGGAGAGGGGTGGGGCAAGGGCGCGCGCTCCCGCTCGGGGCCCCGCTGCCGGACTGCCCCGCCCCCGGCGCCCGCCCCACCCCGCCCCGCGCCTGCCACTGCCACTGAGGAGCGTGGAGCGCAGCCGCGTCCCTGAGCTCCGCCGCCGCCCCTCGCTGTCCCGCCATGGCTGTGCGCCTCGTCCGTGGGTCCGTATGCCTCCTGGGCGCCTGCCGCTCCTGGTGCCAGCCCGCCGTGAGGTGAGTGCGGGCCGCCTGCGCTCCGCCCGGGGAGGCCGGCGTGTGGGGCGCCGAAGCCCCCTGTCCGGGCCTGGAGGCGCCTGGGTCGCGAGCGGGGCGACGCTGCACTCCCTTCCGGAACCTGGGCGCGGCGGCCGCGGCGTGGGGCCGGGGCTGTCCGCTGTGCCCCTCCAAGGCCCCGGAAGCCAAAATGCTGATTCTGTGCCCAGGCACAAGAGAAGTGGTCGCCCCGTGGGTGGGGCTGCGACATGTTGGCGGCGACCTTTGTCCTAGTTGGGGCCGCGCTGTGTCAACCGAGTGCCCGGGACCTCGGGAGAGGTTCCGTCCCCGGAAGACGATCCCGGCGCGCTGAGCCTTGCGGGGCAGAGCTGGAGAGGACCCCATCAGACAAGATGAGCCTTAGGTTGCGTTAACAAATCTTCCAAACCAATTAAACGCTGAGGGATTAACGAGAGCGTCTACGTAGTTCAGTGACTATTAAAATGGATTTATAGTGAGATCAGAAGTTCAGATAGCATGAGGCGTGAAATCCATTCATTGGTTAAACGAACTGGAAGCACGGAGGATTCATACTTAATTAGGGTCACAGGATAGGTAAATTAGCTAATTATAATTAGCACATTGTTGTGGAATACAATAAGGTGCTGTGAGACCTGCAAATCTTAATGTTTACTCTTCCCTGGGCAGGTTTGGGTAGGCTTCACGGAGGAGGTAGCTTTTTTTTAGGTTACACTCGTTTTTCTAAATTCTTCCCCTTCAATAAGACACTGATCCTCCAACTTTTTGGTAACGGGACTCCTTTATGCTCTTAAAATTAGAGAAGCTCAAAGTTGCGTTAGTTATTTTGGTTCAAGTATGAGAAGAAAAATCTGCCCTCACAAAAAGAATATCAGAAAAGTAAAGACCTGAAGGACCCACCCTCTAAATACGTCAGGGGTTATAATTTTATTTAACAAGATTCTTAAATTTTTATGTGGGTATGGATCATTGAGAGAGCTTGTTAAAATACATATTCTAATTCCATAAGGTCTGGAGCGAGCCTTGAGCTTGTGTATGAATAACCAGTCCTCAGGTATTGAGGGATGTAGTGATAGATTGTTTCATTTTCTAAAATGCAAAATAGGTTTACAAAACAATTAGAATTTAACCTCTAAATTCTAGAATTTAGCCTCTAATTTAATGCCTGGGTGTGTGGGGAGAGCAGCTTCTTGGTTCCAGCAAACTTGCTGTCATGTGTTTTGATATCTTCCCTCTACATACTGCCTTGATCAATTTTAACCTTGAAGTCTTTATTCTTTTTTTATTTCTTTCACCTTGTTGTGTCTTTGTGTATTTTACTTAGAAATATTCCAGATATTTCCTTAATATAATAAGGATTATAAAATTTAAAATCCAGGCAGACTTGCATGTAACCTGACTTTATTTACTCATTATATTAACATATGATTCTGTATCTTAGAGCCCCAGTTTCCAAGCCTCAGCATATTTTTCCCCAGAGAGAAAAAAATCCCACATATGGAAAAATCTGTGTGGACAGCTATGTGTTTAATAGTTTTATTTCTACTCACAAAAAATTGAGGCCAGACATTTCAATTATAGAGATAAAGTAAGTTTTAGTTTATTCTATGCAACATGACAGTTAAAGAGGTCCCCCTCTTATCCTCTGTTCTTATCTGTACATCTTGTTCATTCCACTCCAGGCACATTTGGCCTTTGTGCTCTTTCTAGAACACAGTGGGTACCATATAGACTTACAACCTTTGCTCTAGTTGTTCTTTTGTCTTAATTCTTTTATTCTAGAAATGTGCTAGGCTGTGACCTTCAAGGGCTTGTTTAGATCTCACCTTTGCCTTAAACCCACTGTGACTGCATTGTTTCTGTACTTGAGCCTCTGTCCCTGCCTTACACCAGACACACACTCCTGATCCCTTCCCTGCTTTGCTTTTTCTGTGGGCTTACTACCTCTAATATATAATTTGCTTATTTACTGAGCTTTTCATTGTTATTTGGTCTTCCCTTGTTGGAATGTAAGCTTCAAGACAAGGATCTTTGGTTCACTCTTGCATCCTGAAACTAGTAGATCAGTGCTTGGCATAGAATAGGTACTTAGTATTTGTTAAATAAATAGATAAACTATTTAAAATTATGATTTTGATGACAGGGAGTAGTAATCAGAAAAATGTTTTTCAAGACAAAAGGCAGGCCAAGTATGAAAAGTGTAATGTTAAATGTCCACAGTTAATGATTACCAGGGACTGGGCATGTAGCTTAGAGTAGAGTGCTTGCCTCACATGTATGATGCCCTGGGTTTGATCCTCAGCACTGAAAAAAAGAAAAAAAGAGTCATCTCAGGTTGTATTATAAAACTCAACTTGCCATGCCTACATCGCAAGTGCAAGTGCAAGTGCAAGGTCCTGAGTTCCATCCCCAGTACCAAAAAAAAAAAAAACCTCAACTAAAAGCTGTATGTTTAGATGGCTAATGGCTTAAGCAAGGAAGGTGTGAAGTCCAAGATCAAGATGCTAACTGATTGAGTTCCTGATGGGTTCTGTCTTGTCCTGGCTTCTCACTGTCCTTAAATGGCCTTTGCTTGAGGGAAAGAAAGAATCTCTTCCTCTACTTAAGGGGTTAGCAATCATACCAAGTTAAGACCCCACCCTTTGACCTCATTTAACTGTGTTTCCAAATTTTGTCCTATTGGGTGTTAAGGCTTCAACATATGACTCTTTAAGGGAGTATTAAGTGAAGATACAAAAATCAAGCAAGATCAAAAGGATTAATTATAAGGGGAAAAATGATTGAAACAACTTAAATGTTAACAAACAAGACTGATTAATAAGAGTATAGTAAGCGGACTTATTGTAGTTGCTAATTAGAAAGACCTTGGAAAGCTTTCTCTCTTCTGTAGTAAGAATTGAACCTTGCCTTTTCACACTGATCTACATCTTCAACCCTTTTTAATTTTTATTTTGAGATGATCTCACTAAGTTCCTTCCCATACTGGACTGAAACTTTCGATCCTTCAGCCTGAGCCTCCCAGAGTGCTGGAATTGCAGGCATGTGCCACCAACAGGAGGGAGAAACATGTCTTAACATTTAGTTAAAAACTCTGAAAAGGCCAGGCATGGCATGGTGGTATACGCCTATTAATTCCAGCATTCTGGGAAGCTGAAGCCTCTCAGATTTGGAGGATCACAGGTTCCAACCCAGCCCGGGCAATTTAAAAGCACTGGGGATATAGCTCAGTATAAAATCCCTGAGTTCCACAAAGAACAAAACAAAGCAAGCAACAAAAACTTGAGTCTGCTGTGATTAATTATAGGTCTTTTCCAAACAAAAGACTTAAAAGAAGAGAAAAAGCATGGTTCATCTAAGGAAAAGAGAAACCTAAATCAAGATTTAATACAAAACAGAAAAATATAGTTTGGCAATATATGAATATATGATAACGTGAACTAGATGTGATCTTGAAAATGGTTACAGAAACATAGATTTTCAGAATTAAAAAAAACAAAACTGAAGACCATTGACCTACAAGACCTGAAGATCAGTCTCATTTTAAGTTTAGCATGTGTGGCAAGGGCTCTTGCCTGAAAGGGGAAGCTAACAAGCACAGTAACAGTCAGTTCTTGAAGATCTTGAATAATTCTATATAAATCCACATAGAGATTGGTGGGGAATTTGATTTCCACCCAGACTGGCTCTGTGATGGCAATGTCATCAACACAGTTTACATTTTATACAGCTGCTGTTTGAAATTATGTGATCATGCATAAAATACTAAATATAGAGAATTTGCATTATTTTTAACATTGTATATGACATGAAAGTTTGAGTATTATTCTATGGTACCGTTTGACTTCCACATAATTTAATCTATGTGTCGTGTGACAACACTATCTGTTTCACAACTCATCAGTGGTTAGTTTCAAGCATTATCCTTCTTACAGAATTAGAAGTCCAAACTGAGATGAATAATGGTAAAGTGTTGAATTCCAGCAAATAAGGAAGAGCCTATCAAAAGTAGTGATGTTTAAAGTGTCTCCAGGAAAGCTATCTAGGTTCCATGTTGTTCGGTCACAATTAGAGTAATAATTCACTTGATTTTCTTAATGCATATTTTTTAAAGGTGTTCTCATTCTGGAGTGGAAGCACGTCTAGAAAGTTCTTCTGCTAAAAGATTTACAGATATAGGAATTAGAAGAATCTTTTCTTCGGAGCATGACATTTTCCGGGAAAGTGCAAGAAAGTTTTTTCAAGAAGAAGTGGTTCCTAATCATGCAGAGTAAGTAGCACACATTCCTTTAATGGATGCAGAGTAGCATAAAATTCTGTGTACTGCACAGAAAAACTACTGTTCAGTTTTTAATAACATTCTTACTGCTTTTCACCATAATATTCTAAGATCATAGGGTTTTTAGCTTTTTAAATGAGTTCTTGTTTTTTTTGTTTGTTTGTTTTGTTTATTTTTGAGTTAGGGCCTATGCTACCCAGGCTGGTATTGAACTCCTGGGCTCAAGCAGTCTTCCCTCCTTAACCTCCCAAGTAGTTGGGACTCCAGGCTTACACCACACCTAGCCATTTTAAATGACTTTAAAATATATAATTCAATAATGGGAAAATTTGAAAATGTACAATTTAATCTAAGGATAATATTTTTGAAAGCTGTGGTTAAGTGCCACCAAACTACTAGTCCATTCCATGTTCTTTTTTTGTTTTATGAATGAATTAAAATATGTAAAAGTCCAGCATAGTGCAAATGTTGGTAGGAGATTGGCCACTTGTAAGTACTTTACTACTAGATGTTTCTTGATTAATCATTGACTACCTTATTGACAAAAAACTATCATTTCTACTAAATATTTCCTGTTTCCAAGATTCACTCAGTTACAATACAGTGCTACATTTAGAATAGTTTTAAATTTTTATTTAGAAACATTTCATAAGAGTGTTTGTATTTTACTTAATTTTATTTTATTTTGAGACAGGGTCTTGCGCTGTAATACAGGATGGACTTGAACTCAGTATGTAGCCCCACCTGACTTCAAACTCAAGATCATCTTGCCTCAGTCTCCCCCATGCTGAGAGTACAGGAATGGTCCATGACCTGTTTAGGTTTTAATATTTTTCTTGGTTACATTGACCAAAATTAGCTAAAGTCTAAAGTTATGACTAATCTTTGGTGATAAACAACTAGCTTCTTAAAGGTAAGAGAAGTGTAGTGTACTTTGTTCTAGGAGAATCTATTTTTTGGCTTCACTGCCTTTTTGTTTTGGTTTTTGAGACAGGGCTTTATAGTTCAGGCTGGCCCTGAACTCACTATGTAGCCCAGGCTAGCCTCAAACTTGTGGCAATCCTCCTGCCTCTGCCTCCCAAGTGCTGGAATTACAGGTGTGTACCACCATGCCCGGCAATTTTTTTTTTGGTACTGGGGATCCAACTCAGGACTTTGTGCTTGCCAGGCAGGCATGGCATCCCTGAGCTACATCCCTGGCCCTTCACTGTTTTTAAGTTTTGTTTCAGAAATATTGTTTCTGAAAAATACTTTTTCAGAAAAATTGTTGAAAGAGACTGAAGTAAATAATTGATGTGAAAACATTTTGAGTCAATACTAAAAATATTTCCAAAGCTATGTTAGGCAATAATTATGTACATCAAAATACCCAGGATAATCGAAACCTTTCTTCTAACATTTCTTGTATCTGTATCTACCTTCAGCCAGTATCTTCAACTACCATGCATCTTACTGACTTGATCTACTCCTTTAAAAAACAACAATTTTTAGATTCTTTCACTGTTTCTGCCATCTACTCCTCCTTTCACTGTTTTCATTTTTAAAGGAAAAAGCTGGGGCTAGATAGAGATATGGCTCAGGTGGGCACATGGCTTAACTAGCATGCTTAAAGGTGCCGGGTTTGGTCCTAGTGCAAAGGATGAGAAACACAGACTTTTCAGAAATTGAAGGTGTGCCTGCACTCCTGTTGCTCCTCTTGAGTGGAGTGAGGTTGCTTGCTCTTGTCAGCTTTGATAAGCTTTTCCTGTTCAGCATTTTAAGAAAATATGCAGAGGAAAATTTTCTTTACAAGTTGATCAAATTCCCTTTACTGTGACAAAACTAATCTTGTACCCTAAGAGCACCAACTGAGTGAAACTACACCTGTGAATATCTGTGGGTATGATTTCTAGGTCTGATAAATAGGAAAGAGGCAGAAAGTGGCAAATAGAAGTAGGGAAGAGAAAAAGAAATAATGGAAGACAGATACAAATAGAAGGATATGGCATTGTCAACAGTTAACCTTAAGTTAAGGATGCATTCCTGCACAAAATCATTCACAAATTCAGAGTGTGGCCATTTAAATAATTTGAAAGAAATTTGTTTGATTTTAAAATATTTGTTATTTGCAGATGGGAGAAAGCTGGAGAAGTGAGTAGGGAGCTTTGGGAAAAAGCTGGAAAACAGGGACTGCTTGGTGTCAACATTGCAGAACGTCATGGTGGGATTGGTGGTGACTTGTACTCAGCAGCTGTTGTTTGGGAGGAGCAGTAAGTATGGAGGCATTGAAGCTCGGTCTGGAGTTCACTTTTCTGAAATGATAATTAAAATGCTTTCTAAATGTCCTGGGATGATTGAAAATTCAGTATAAAGTGTGAATGATTATACCATTCACATATTCTTGGGCATTTTTTGAATGTGGGAAGAAAAGGAAATCCTCTTTTAAGTTGAAGTAGGAGCTGTTTAAAATCAAGGAGAGAAGGGCTGGGGATTTAGCTCAGCGGTTCCGGCACAAGTGCTAGGTCCTGAGTTCGATCCCCAGTACCAAATAAATAAATAAATAAATAAATAAATAAAATTAAGGAGAGAGCCTCATTTTCGGTAAGCTTACATGGTATTTCCTTCTTAAAAACATATTTGAAAGGGAATAGCAGAATGGAAAAATATTTCCACCAAACATACTAAAGTTTAATATATAAGAACAAATAAAGATAACAGTTAAAAATGGGCCAAAGTTTTGGAGTAACATTTTATGTAAAAAGAAATGCAATTAGTTTTTTTCAGTGAAAAAAGTACTTCCTTACTGTTTACCAAATATAAATTAAATTGACTTGTAGATGTCATTTTGTATATCTACAAAATTGGTGAAAGTTATAAATCCTAATACCCAGTGTTGACAGGGGTGTAGTGTTGTAGTGAAAGTGGCGTTTTCATACATTTTGGTGGTATTGCAGATTAGAAAAATAAATATTTTGTATTAAAAAGGTGAATATATAGATATATGAAAAATGACAATGTTACTGCTCTTTTTTTTTTTTTTTGGTACCAGGGATCAAACTCGAGTTCTTGTGCTTGTGCAGCAGGTAGCGAAACCACTGAGCTAAATCCCCAGCCCTACTGCTCTTTGATATACAATGTCATTTTAGGAAGTTTATCCTAAGAAGGCAATTGAATAAGAAAAATAAAAGCTATGTTCAGAAATCATTGTCATGTTAAATTGTACTCCCTCAAATTTTGAAGCAATCTAAATATCCAGCAGTGGGGGAATAAATAAATTAGGGGCACAAACAATTTGGAATATTTTGTGGCTATTTAAGATTATAATTGTAAAAATCTATGTAAGAAATAGAATTTTATTATGTTACAATTTAAGAAGAAAACAGCAAGGTACAAAATTTATAACCTGACCATATTAGAACACAGTGGTACCTCAGTTCATGAACTTAATTTATTCTATGATTTTGGAAAAGATGGCCGTGTTTGTGTGGGAAAGATGGCTGTGATTGTGTTTGTTGCTTGATGCAGAGTTTGCAAACAAAAACAAAATTTTGCCAAATGATTCTGTTTGTGAACCAAATTGTTTGCAGAGTTCAAGAACCAAGGTATTAATGTATATCCGAAAGTAGTTTGCCATAAATAAAAATAGTTGGTGTTTTAGGGTAATACAATTCTAGGGGCTCAGCATTTTATCTCTTAATTCATTAAATATGTATTTGCTAAGGTGTTAGAGCATTCCTGTTATGTTAGAACAGGCAATTAAAAGATTAGTAAAAGCAGAGAGAAAACACTGAGAATGTCACAGGTTTATGAGGAGGTAGGTTATTACCCAGTATGATAAATCGTTAATGGTTTGTTGTTATATTAGTCATTTTGATTAAAAATTAAAGAAACAGGGGCTGGGGATTTAGCTCAGTGGTTTCACTGCCTGCCTGCCCCGCAAGTGCAAGGACCTGAGTTCAATCCCCGGTACCAAAAAAAAAAAAAAAAATTAAAGAAACTAAAATATACCACAATAAGTATCTTATATTTTAAATTGTCTTCCTTTTTTCTTTAAGATCCTACGTAAATTGTTCAGGTCCAGGTTTTAGTCTTCATTCAGATATTGTCATGCCTTATATTGCAAACTATGGCTCAGAAGAACAGATTAAGCACTTCATCCCCCAGATGACTGCAGGCAAATGTATTGGTGCCATAGCAATGACAGAGCCTGGGGCTGGGAGGTAAGTCAAGATTCAGTTGGTTTTTTTTTTTTTTTTTTTTTTTGGTATGGCGGATCAAACTCCGGTCCTTGTGCTTGTGAGGCAGGCAGCGCAGGCACCTGAGCCACTGAGCTAAATCCCTGGCCCTAAGATTCAGTTGGTTTTAACTCTTGGAAGCAGAACTGTAATAGCAAACATTTTCTTTCTTTCTTTTTTTTTTTTTTTTCTCGGAGCTGGCCGCTATTTATTGGGCTCATAGGGAGGATCAGATGTCTCAGAGGGCTGCAGTGATTCTAAGTTCACGAGGATCTTAGGTCTATGAGGAGCTTCTGTTGTTTAGGATAGAGAGATCAGCGTCACAGGGCCACAGAGGCCTCAGACAGCCCTAATCCTAACATTACATAGAATGGTTCCCAACAGCCAGTGTAGGGAACAGGGGAAGGGGATGTTACCAGAACCTCTGCCTTAAGTCCTAGTCTCCTGCAAGCCACGGCAGCACACGGCGAATTACAGGAAAGGTAGACAAATGAGAAGAAGCTGAGCTTTGGGTCTGATCAGTGCTGCTCTGGGCAGCAAAGACAAGAAACCCTAGCTTGCAGCACCTTTCATTTAGTACATCAGGAGAAACAAATGTAACAAATGAATATGTAGATTTCAGTACTTCACATTGGGATAAACAAGGTATAACAGACTGGGAGAGGGGGGTTCGGCACAAATCTCAGAATAATGCAGATGAAGATTTGGTTCCTCCCAGGAACTACACAGATGAAGATTTGGTTCTTCCCAGGGTGTCTCCCGCAGGTGTGGTCTTCTCTTGGAGCATTACAGCATCACCAGATCATTGAGATCTCAGTTGTGACCTGAGGCCAAAATGGAATTATGTCTTGGAATGTTATAGCTGGCCTGTAGGCAGGAGAACTAGGCCTACTCAAATGATTTTTCCCTGGAATTATGTAGCATTGCTCCCAACATATCTCCCTTTCTTTTTGTTTTATGTGAAGGTGTCTTTAGGAAAAGTAAGCGCACCCAACAATAGCTTGAGCCTATATATAGTGAGGATCTATAGTGTTTGACTGGCTTGGCTATCTATAATAAGCATAATTTCTATTAATTGGGGCTGTAAAAGGATGAAAAATCAAATAATTTTTTTAAACAATGTCAGCTAAAAAAACTTAAAACTTTTGTTGAACTCAAATAGCTATTGTCTTTAGTTGTACTTCTCTACTCGACGTTCAAGACCAAGTTACAGTGAGACGAATATTAAATAAAGTCAATCTCTTGCTGTCTAACAAGGTCAATTAAGTCTCCACAGGCACTGTCTTGGAACCATGCATAGAGCCTCTTAGCTCCTCTGTCAGTGTCAGCTATCAGGATATGTCATGGCCTTGCTTGACCATATTAGCAAACATTTTCTTAGTACACTCAGCTTTCCATATCTATGGGTAAAAAGACACAAAGCATAATCCACAGAAAGAAATCTCCAAGTGATGTCCATGGAAAATAAGGAGCAGTTTTTTAGTTTTCTCCCAATGAAGTCACACTGGATATGCTTAATTCCATCAGCAACAGGTTGTAACAACATGTTGAGATATTATCTACCAGGATATATTTCATTAGCTACTCAGTGCCCAGGATGTTACTGAAGGTTGATCACATAGGCACCTTCTGCCTACCGTATTTCAAAATTGAGAGTCCCAGAAGTAAAGTAGTTGTTCAGCATTAGCCATATTGTTTGCACAAATTGTGTAGAAATAGTAGTCCTCTTTTATCAGTTTTGAGAATGGTGAGAATCTTCCTGAAATCCAAATTCTCAGATGCCAGTCAAGGACAGCTTTATAATCAGGCCTTTCTAAAGATAGCAGTCTCCTGCTTGCTTTATTATCTCTTTTCAATTCACTTGGCATTTTTAGTTATGTAATTCATCAAATGTTTATGGAATTCTTGTTATGTGAAAAGAAATATGTTAGGCAAGGAGCATGTAGTCATATATATGCCATATTCACAGAAAGCTTGAGAGATAAGTAGGAAAGATAAGATCTTTACTGAAATTTAAGGTAAACACTTTTAAGAGAATACAGTAGTTTACTATGGCTTTTGTGACAAATTACCATAAAGTTCATGGCATAAAACAACAAATTTAATTTGAAGGCCATAAAACGACAATCAGTATCATTGAGCCCAAATCAAAGTATCAGTAAGGCCAGACTCCCTCCTGAGGATAAAGAGAAGAATCCATGCCTTGCCTGTTCCATCTTCTGGTGGCTAGAGCATGTTTTGGCTTAGTCCCTCTGTGGCCAGATTACCTTTTCCTTTCCTATATATGGAATCTCCCTCTCCTTTTTTTTTTTTTCCTAAGGACATTTGTGATTATATTTATGACTCATCCAGATAATTCATGGTGTTTTCCCCACTTCAACATCCTTCATAAATTAATCATTTCTGCAAGATCCTTTTTTTAAAGTACTGGGATTTGAACCTAGGGCCTTTGCACTGACTGAACTGTATCAGTTATTTTGAGAAGAATCTAAGGTGCCCAGGATGGGCTCCAACTTCCAATCTTTTTGTCTCATCCTGTCAGAGTACTGGGATCACAGGCATGTACACCATGCCCAGCTTAAGATTCTATTTTCTTGTAAAGTGAGCTTTCCCATTGCCGATACAAAATACTTGACACCCACAACTTAAAGGAACAAGAAGTTTATTTTTGGCTCATAGTCACAGATGTTTCAGTCTGTGTTCAGCTGGATCCAAGGCAGAAACAACATGGCAAGAGAGCATAGAAGGCTGCTCAAGTTGTGGCAATCAGGAAGGACAGAGCAAGGGAAAGAGTGATTTTAAAAACTTCCATGGAGTACAAAAACATAAAGAACACAGGAAGAATCATTAAAATTTCCTAATAAGTGATGGGGACTATTTATGTATGATGCTACTCACTGTAGGCAATTCATGAATATTGAAACCTTAGTGTTCAATGTAGGAAAATGGGTACACCTTGAGACCATAATAGTAAGTGAAATAAATCAGACACACAAGCTTAAATATCACAGTTTTTCTTATGTGAGAAACCCAAAGTATAAATAAAGAGCAAAATAAAAGGTAGATAATAGGAGGGCAGGGGAATGGGGAAAAAAATAACCAAGACATATCATGTAAAGGTATAAATTCCCAATTATGAATGTCATATTGTATACCTAAAATATACCAATAAACTTAATGAAAAAAGATGAATTAATAGGAGTATGAAAAGTATCTTTCTCAAAAGGAAAGAGAATTAAGAAATGGAGGGGGAAGGGAGGGAGAGGAGGGAAAGGGATGAAAAAAGGAATGAAGATGCTTGATGTACATGCACCACCTCCATACAAGGAAAAAAAAACATTATGCACAGCAAACATGGACTAATAAAAAAATTATAGTAAATTCATATGATATTCCATGTAGATAAAAATTATCTTACAGAAAAAAGTAAATATTATTAAGAGATCAAAATCATATGTTTGGTTACAATTTTATAAAAATGTGCGTATGTGTACCTGTAGCAAACATTTTGCAAAGATGTATTTTTAAAATGTTCATTGAGAAAGTTTTTAAAAATTATTTTCTCCTTTGGAATACTCTTTGTATTTTTATATTTTAGTTTAGTAGATTTGTTAGAAAATGACACTTGAGACACAGACTTTTGAATAGCTAATCTTTTGATGAATTAGAGGTAAGGGAAAAAGAAGCAAGGGATATAAAGGAAGGTAAAAACATAATGTGTGATGACATATAACCTTAGTAATATAGTAAGCCTTGGAATGCCATCTTAGTCCAGTTTGGGGAGTCTGTACTCTCTAAAGTCTGGAGAGTTTATACCATTCATTCATGAAAGACCTTTAGAAGATAATGTATCAGACATAATTGCAATTGTGTGAACATTACTAATATTAGGAGTTCTATAATGTATCAAATTTGAATGATAACATGATACATATACTTACATAGCAGTATTTGTGTAATCTGGTTTTTTACCTACTGATAATTTTTTAATCATTTCTTTCCATTACAGTGACTTACAAGGAGTAAGAACAAATGCCAAAAAAGATGGAAGTGATTGGATTCTCAATGGAAGCAAGGTGTGTAAAGAGGGGCTTTCTAGCCCTTCTCTCCGGAGCCATGCAGTGGGTAACAATATCTAAAATATTACTCATTATTGAATCTAATGGACCTAAGGACTCACAGAAATTACTTTCTTAAGTGCTTAGAAATAGGAAGAGACCTACAACTTTTATATGTCATAAGATCTGTAGTACCAGCCTCTATGTTTGATGTTGTGTGCTCCCTCACAAATAATGCAAAGATGATTTTAGCTTCCAGACAGTCCTTTCTTAAACCAGAAAAGGGAGAAGGAACTTCCATGTTGCTCAAACACAGGGTAAACAATAGCTGAGTTGTTGATAAAAGATTTGGGGAAAATCTTTCTGATAAATATCAAAGAGTTTCCAAATAGCCTAGGACAGAAAGGTAGCAGATGTTATAATTTGAGAGCCCTTTGGTGTTTTTGAGCATTAACCCACTGATAGACTTGGAGCCCCACCCCCACCCCCAAACATGGTTACAAATGGCCTTTGAATCTATTATCACTGAGGGCTAATGATAATGTCTACCTCAGATCATGTCTCATATATACTTGGTAAATATGTTTTATGAACTGAGTGGTAAGTGAAGAAAAGATGCTTATTTTCTACACTGTTCTAGGGAAGTCTTACTGAAAATGTGTAGCAGGGTCTATTGAAAGATGAGTTTTTCTGTTTGTTTGTTTTGGTTTTTGGTGCCGGGTGTTGAGCTCAGGGCCTCGAGAACACAAAGCATGCACTACCCTACAACTGAACAACAACCCCAGCCTTGTTTTCTTTATTACAAATTCTTTTTATTTCCAATTAGTTTCAGGCTAATATCTTCATGTTTTTAAAGAATATCATGGCACTATCAAATTTCTAGGAGATTCTACATTCTCAATGTCTATACTTATGTTCACAGACTGCACAGAGGCTGTTCAGTTTATGGACTGACATCGGTATGCAGAATAAACTTTGAGAATCTTGATTGTAAACAACATTCCTTAATTTTGTATGACAGAAAAATAATACCTGTATGGTCAAATAAATTTGGAAAATGTGCATAGCTTCTTACTCTGATAGCCTGATGTGTACTGCCATCTCTAAAAGTTGGAAACAATATATTTTATGTTTTAAGAATTTTTTGTAGGCTACCATAAATCACTTATGTTATTTAAATGTACATAAAGAAATATTATTCTAAATTATAAATATAGTAGATGCTGATTCCAATGTATATTCACTTAACAGTTAACTCCTTATATACAAAAAGCTTATTTTGAAAAAAGAGTGGGGTGTTTGGTCAAAAGTGATGGGGCTGGGGACTGTGACTCATGCCTTTAACCTTAGCTACTCCAGAGGCTGAGGCAGGAGGATCACAAGTTCAGGGCCTGTCATTCTCAGCAACTTAACAAGACTATATCGCTAAGTTAAAATGGCTGGAGATGTATCTCAGCCATAGTGTGTTTTCCTACCATTGACAAGGCCCTAGGTTCAGCCCCTATTATTAAAAAAAAAAAATCTGAGGACCAGGGATTTAGCTCAGTGGTGCCTCTCCTGCCTCGCAAGTGCAAGGTCTTGGGTTAGATCCCTGGTACCACAAAAAAAAGTATCTGAGCACAGTCTGCTCAGTTGTGGTCTTCTGTGAGAAACACTCACTAAAGATACCATTGATTATTTCAAAAACTCGATTAGGAATATTAAAAAAATGGAAAGCAAGTGAAAGTAAAGGAATAGGGAAATAAATGTGTATTACATCAGAACTAATGTCCAATCCATAAAATATCAACAACTATGTTATATTATCATAACTATGTATATGTTAACATTAAGTGGAAAAACACCATGCAGAATACAGATGTACAATAATTTCATTTATAAGAATAGAAATAAAAAAGCTGGGTGAGGTGGCACACACCTGTAATCCCAGAACTCGGGAGGCTAAGGCAGGAAGATTTCTGCCAGTTGGAGACCAGCCTGAACTACATAATGAGACCCTGTCTCAAAAAAAAAAAAGAGAGAGATGAGAAAGGAAATTCATAATGATATGATAATGATATTTGTATTTTAGACTCAGAAAGTTATTTTTTCCTTTTTTTAAATAACTATATCTTATCTATATAACATTTACAGTGAGCTGTTGTATTACAGTGAGTGTTGTATTATAAGCATTTAGTTAAAATCCCTAAGGGATAATCCCAGCCCTTTTCAAACTTTCGACTCTCACAATTAGAATGCAAACTGAGAAAGACCACTTACAAAGAGAATTTTCTTATAACTTTCTTAGAAAGGAGATCAGTCATGATGAAAATAGTTTAGAATCCATTAAACTTGTTCTGTAATTACTTCAACAGCAGTGTCTGGAGAAATCACTTGATTTTTCCAGTGCAAGATCAGGGGGTTCAAGTGAATGATTTTTGCCCTATAGACTGCTCTTTCTTTCCAGTCTATTGTTCATTTTATTATCTATAGTTAATACACTTCTGAGACTATAGGTTTTAGAACATACAGATATTAATTCTTGGATGCTTTAAACAAAAACACTTAGCAGAGCCGGGGATTTCACTCAGTGGTTCCACTGCCTGCCTCGCAAGCGCAAGGTCCCGAGTTCGATCCCCAGTACCAAAAAAAACCCCCCCAAAACAAAAAAACACTTAGCAACCCGAGACCATGGGTTTTAGAACATACAGATAATGATTCCTGAATACTTTAGCCAAAAAAACACTTAGCAACTTAACTATGTCATCTACATAAAGTGGTCGGTCTTATCATAGAAAGGTAGAAAAATTGGGAGTCCTGCAAGTTTTTTGAACAAGAAAGTGACATAATGGAGCAACTGCTGAAAAAATATCAATATCAACTCTGCATGTACTTGAATAAGGTACAGAGAGGGATAAATAAAGCATGTCTTGCTTGTTTTAGTCTTCTTAACTATGCTTTCTCCAATCATAACTTGCATGGACCTGAGTATTGCAGAGCATGACAGTGTACTTGGGGTTTTGCAGGTGTTCATCACTAATGGCTGGTTAAGTGATGTTGTGATTGTAGTTGCGGTTACAAATCGTGAAGCTCGGTCACCTGCCCATGGCATTAGCCTTTTTCTGGTGGAAAATGGAATGAAAGGATTTATCAAGGGACGGAAGCTACATAAAATGGGATTAAAAGCCCAGGTAAGCCATAATATAACTCGTATTCAGGTAATAATTGTTACTGTCAAATCAGAGAAAAGACATGTAGAGAATTACAGGTGGCAAAGTCATACCTTCTTCCTGTGCTGAATTCATAGAATAAGGGTTTCAGAAAGATTATTCACAGTCGTGCTACTGTATCTCTTTCTGGTAGTCAGCAAAAGACAAGGATCAGGGTATTTTGAATATCTATTTTAGAAATGGCAAACTTTACAGTATTAAGCTGTCTCTTTTTGAAATGTATTGAAGAAAATTATGAATTAAGAACAGAAAAGATGTTTCTGTGTATTACCAAAAACAAGTTTTGCTGACTGTGTTAGATATTCTTATTCCCTAGAGAACTGGACAGTACGGGAGCTTGAATAACAGTATACTGCAGTGGGAAAGTCCCAAGTTTGGGAATCACATGGACCTAGTTTGACTCCCTGACTTACTATTTACTTTTTGTGTTCACTGACCACTCCAGTGTGGCTTCCAGTTTGTCCCTTTTAAAAAATCTTCAATGGAAATAATAACATGGGGTTATTGGAAAACTTGAATGAACTCATTCTGTTTTACTTAACTGTATGTTCTCTTAGGATACTGCAGAACTATTCTTTGAAGATGTCCGATTGCCAGCTAGTGCCCTACTTGGAGAAGAGAATAAAGGCTTCTATTACCTCATGCAAGAACTTCCACAGGTCAGAAATTAAAGATACCTTTTTTTTTTTTTTTGGAACCAGGAAATGAACTCGGGACCTTGCACTTGCGAGGCAGTCAGCAGAACCACTGAGCTAAATCCCCGCCCCTACCATTTTTAATAATATAATGGGCTGGAATAGAGTAATACAGGACCATATACAAAGTATGATTGAAAAATACAGTGAATGTTTAAATTCTTAAAAATTTACTACAGTAAAAAGAATATTGCTATTAATCTCCCTCAGTATATCCCCTGCCCCAAGCTTCAAACACGCTTATCCACTCCTTTTGGCCACTTTCTGAAGTATTCTGGAAGTCCTATTTTGTGAGTGTCTTTAGTTGCATTATCAAACCTACCTCGATATCCTGATTTACCTTTCATGATCGTTTTTACTTTGGGGAAGATCCAGAGGGCACATGATGAATAAGATCTGCTGAATGAGCATACAACACAATATTTTAAGGGCCTGCCTTTCTGCTGGGTGACACACAAAAGCAACATTAACCACATTATTTATCCCACCTTGCACACCTTGGAAAGATAAGAAAACGTACTTCCAGAACTGCTTCAAAATGTGGCAAGAACAACAGGATAATTATGTTGGGGGGGGGGGTTGAGGGGGAATAATGGCAATGTGTCTTTTATTACTGTAATAATTTTTTAATTCAAACACACACTGTATTTTTTGATTAGCCCTTGTGAATCCATGCATGCTAAACTGAACTCAGGAATATCCAAATAAAACTTATAAAGTGACTGGGAAAAATAGATTTTCTTCAGTTCTGTGATTCCTTCTTGGAATGGTTTCAGCCTAATAACTAGAAGTCAAGAACTGTTAGCTTTTTATAAGGAAGTAACACTGAAAACATCTGGCAATTTTTAAATAACTATAATAATCAAAGGGAAGGCCCAGGGATTTAGCTCAGTGGTATCGCCACCTGCCTCACAAGCAAAGGGTCTCGAGTTCGATCCCCGGTACCAAAAAAAAAAAAAAAATGAAAGGGAAAAAGATGTTAAGTTCAAACTGAAAAATTTTAGTAGTGTAAAAGCTAGCCTTTACATCGGTTTTCGAATATGATTGCCTAGTGATCATTGGACCTCATATGTCAGCATAAGGGGATACATTTACAATGTCCATGGCATAAGCTAAATATGAAATTGGAAAAAGAGCTAGGAACCTAGCATTTAAATAGTATGAAACACTATGAAAATCACTAGCATGATGGATTTGATCTAAGGCTACTTTTGTACTAGTAGATAGAATTTAACCTATATTCTGGAAGATACTTATTTGTACAGACACATTGTTATATAGTACAGAGATCAATAAATAAAAGTGGATTTTCTTTACTAATACATGAATAGAAAAAAGAAACTGTAGAGTACATATAGTAATGACAATCTTTCATAAAAATAAAGAATTTTTTAGAGAATTATTCTTTTAGGTAGGTCAAAATCTCAAATCTTTGTGGGAGCATTTTATTATAAAGAGTTAAATTAATCTTTAGGAGTTCATTATAAAGATTGTAGGATTTATTATAATGAAATTGTGTGAAAATCATTTGTGTAATTAGAATAATGTTTAAGACTTAATTTTTGGGTTATAGGAAAGGTTGTTAATTGCTGATTTGGCAGTTTCTGCCTGTGAATTCATGTTTGAAGAAACCAGGAACTATGTTAAGCAAAGAAAAGCTTTTGGGAAAACAGTTGCACACATACAGGTAAGCTTGTTGTTATGGTTTGGTACTAGATGGTCACAGTTTACTCATCTGAAATGGGTCTAGGGTAAATGTAAATTTGGTGTAATTTTGATATGTAGTGTCTATGAATGAGATGCTTAAGGAAAAGAGAATGAAAAATAAGAACAGAGATCCTAGGACAGAGTCCCTTGGAGAATTTCTACAAGATCTGAAGATGGAATAGGAAAGACAGAGCCTGCAAAGATGACTGAGTTAGAAAGAAGAAAGCAAATCAAAAGAGTGTTGTAAAAGCCAAGAGGAAAGAGGATTTAAAGTAGGAGGGAGTGGGATCAAGTTGTATCTGAAGGAAAAACAGAAAGATCAAAGGACACTCACTGGCCATAATGATTTAGTATTTAGTAAGAGCTGTTAATGCTGATGTGGAGTGACAGGCCAAAGTCTGTGAGAGTTGTCAGTGGAAATAGGATGTAAACATAGTAAAGACAGACAACTTCTGATTTTGGCTACGAATGATAGTTGAGAATAAAGATAATAATGGAGGGGAAGGGAGAGTAGAGGTAGATGTGGGAGTCAAAGGAAATATTGAGAGGTTATTTTTTTTGTTCCTATAGTTGATGGGAATATTGGAGCATACTTTAATACTTAAAGGATTTAGTAGAGGAAAACATTGTGGCTAGAGAGGTGATAATTGCCTTGGTTCTTTGATATGTAGCTCTGTTGGTCACAACTAATGAAAATTTTTTGTCAAAAAGCTTTAATTTCTTTAAATATCAACAGAGAAAGTTGGTTCTTAAAAGAAGGTATCTGAGGAGAGTGAGGAAGGTTTGAAATGCCCTTTTTAGAGTGAGCAACTCAACTAACTAGAGAAACACCAGAAGCCAGCTAGCGCTTTTGGGGACCCCCATAAGATTAGGGATCGTGAGTTTATAGTGTATCTTTTACATTTTGTGTATTAGCATTACTAGTACAAACATAGCCTGTACAAACAGAGAAAGTAAATGGATGGTTGTGTTTATTTTAGGTTGGATTTCCAGGAAGTTTAAGGTATTTGCAAAAGAACTCAGTGTACGGTGATCACAACCACCAGATACAAATTTTGGACCCTCTAGTTTCTCATTAAATGAAGGGATGGTTTATAAGCATTGTAGTCATCAAGTTGGTGAAACATCTCACTAGCCAAAAACCTTGAGTTGGAATTCCACTTTTTATTTATTTATTTATTTATTTATTTATTTATTTGGTACTGGGGATCCAACTCGGGTTCTTGTGCTTGCACGGCAGGCAGCGAAACCGCTGAGCTAAATCCCTGGCCCATGGAATTCCACTTTTAAAATTTCAGTTACAGTGACTTTTGACTGAAAGGTTTCTTGAAGATAAAAACAGAGATAAGGGGGCTGGGGATTTAGCTCAGTGGTTCCGCCACCTGCCTTGTAAGCACAAGGTCCTGAGTTTGATCCCTGGTACCAAAAAAAAAAAAAAAACAGAGATAAAACACCTTGGTAGAGTTTCAAGACCAGCATTATACAAATTATGTTCAAGTGTGGTTTAAATCCTAGCTCAGCTCCTGAAATTTCTGTAGTCCAGGCAAGTTATCTCAGAAATATTTTCCTGTTTGTAAGATTTTTAAAAATTTACTTGGTATGTAAAATTGTATTTCTGAAAAATATCAGAGGCTACCTCATAGGATTGCTGTGGGGATTTGAGGGATAATGGTACAGTGCTTAGAATATTGCCTAGTAAAATAAGCCCAAGGGCCAGGGATTTAACTCAGTGGCACCACACCTGCCTTGAAACCACAAGGTCCTAAGTTCTGAGTTCGATCCCTGTACCAAGAAAAAAAAAGATAAACAGATTTAAAATAGGCCCTCATTACAGTTAGCTCTTATTTTTGCCTTATATAAATCCTTATTCCATTTTTTTCCAATATAAAGGGGACTTTTTATCAGTTTTTTGGTCTTGCTCCTGATGTGGGCCTTCTGTCTTTTTGGAAACTACTTACTACCTGTATCTTCATCAAGTTAATTTTTTTCCATTGTGAAAAAATGTCTTTGCATATATGACAGACCAAAGCAGTTGTTCCAAATGTGTAAAAATGAGGCACATACTCAGTCAAAAATACAGTTTAACAAACAAGCCAGGCATGGTAGAACATGACTATAATCCTAGCACTCTGGAAGGCTGCAGCAGGAGGATCTGAAGTTTCAGCCTAACCTGGGTAACTTAATGACTTACACCATGTCTCAAAATTTAAAATAGGAAAAGGGCTGGGGATATAGCTCAATGTGAAGGCCCTAGGTTTAATCCCAAGTTTGGGAGGAGGGGGAAGGGAAGGGAATGGAGGAGATGGGACAAGACAGGACAGGAGAGGGACAGGGACTTGACTAAACTGGTTTTCTTAAGAACCGGATGATATACTGTATATTTCCTTTCATTTATGAATCGTAGTTGGTGGGTCTCAATGCCTACCCTCTCCCCACTAGGCATCTGGAAATGTCAGAGATGGGGCAGTGGGCAGTAACTAGAAGTGTACCTTGTGTTTAGGGTCCTGGAGGAGAGTGTTGTTAAATACCTTGTAATTCAGAGAAATACTAATACCTGTAGTCACCTGTTGAGAAATATTGACATATATGACTTACTCCTTTTGTTTCACTGAGCACTTATTTATTAGTTGCCTTCTGAGGTTGTATTTAGGGATGATTTGATAGTTACAACTGGGGAAATACACATGGAAGGCTCCTGGGAGTGTGAGGGAAGTTACACCACTGGGTGTCACTCTGCAACTGTCTCATCTGTACCCAAAGTGGCATCATTAATATTTGCCTCTGATATTCAACCACTGCCATTTTCAAATCAAAAATATTATTAAGACATTTTACAGAATAAGGCTATAAGGCTTATTCTGTAAAAAAAAAAGTTCAACCATCTGGACATAATTTCCATCTCTTTGAAAATGTATATTTTCTCTGTTTATAGATTACATGCTACATTGTAGTAAAGATGACTATATTATTCAGGTTGCCGGAATAGCTCAGAAAGCATGTGATTTGCCATATAACCATGAAGGACAGAGGAAATTGATCTATATGTAATATTTTCTCATAAAAGAAAAAGGTTCTTTAAAGATACAGTCATGTACAGCATATTTCTATCAGTGACAGAGTGCATGTGTGACACACTGATGTATCCATCAAAAAATGGTAGCTCAGTGAATTACTAGTGTGTTTGTGGAAATGCTGGTGTAAACAAACCATCAGTCATATAAAAGTATGATTGTGTACATTGCATTATGATTATGTACAGTGCATACTTGGTAATAAATGACTGTACTAATTGTTTATATATTCATTATATTATACTTTGCCATTAGAGTACATTCCTGCTTATTAAAGTTTACTATAAAATAATATGCTATCTTATGCCAATATTAGCATCATAATCTTGTGATTCCCAAGTCTCTTGATTTCAGTAAGTGGTAAAGCAGTTGACCTGTACCATCTGGATTTATGTTAAGTACACTTCATAATCAGCACACAACAGATGAAATTGTCTAAATGGAATATTTCTCAGAATGTACACCTACAATTAAGCAATACATGGTTGTATCTATTTATTGTAGTTTCATAGCAAAAAACAAATAATTTTAATCCTTCTGTTTTTTAAAGCGAGTATCATTTTATTGTTACCTTCCTGCAAAAGCAGTTCACTAAATTTTCAGTAGAGGGCAGTAGCATTTTGTTCCCACAGGTTCATTTTTGAGTAGTACTGTTTTCAAGTAGGAGTATGTACTGAAGTTTCTGAGCTGTTCTTCTAATTTTTGTTTCATTAAATAAGTGTCTTTGAATAAAATGTTCATATTTCAACTTAAGAATATATGTAGAGATGATGTATGATTAATACATGCTTATAGCTCCTATTCTAGAACTGGATGCACTATGTTTCTAGTTATTCAACTGAAAAAGAAGACCTGTGTCAGTCACAATTTACTTAGCTTAACGTCAGTTTATGACTGTGTGGCTACTCAGTTTCTTTTCTCTAAATTCTTAAATTTTGAACATTTTGGGTCTCTCTGACCATTTGGATATATGTCACAAAGTTTCCATTTTTTAATAGAGAGCTATCATACCAAAGTAGCAATTGTTACAGGTTTTTATTTTCTTTATAATGATAATATGGGATATCACATCTCATGATTTTCCCTGGAATAGACCATAAAACATTAAAAATTTTAATAAAATATCATTTATTAACTTCTCTGTACATGCCAGACACTGTGCTAAATGAAATGGGTTTTTTTCCTTCACAACTACAAAAATAATATAATTATCTTCATTTTATAGATAAGGAAGTTGAGACAGAGAAAGTTTAAATAACTTGCTCAGAATTATACAGCTATTCTAATTCCAGAACCTATCTTCTTAACCACACAAGTTTTACTTCCCCGGAAGTTTAAGTGGATGGCCTATTTTTCTTACTGTATTTTCTTTCACTCAACAGGCAGTGAAATAAAAATGAATGTGCTTTGCTAAGTCAAGCTCTTGATTAGTCATTTTCTATATGATACATGTTCTTGATTCTAAGGGCACAGAGAATTAGGGGAAGGGATGGGGGAGTGGCAGAAAACACTTTTCCCTTTTGTTCCTCTAGAAAGAATATCTATTTCTTAACTATAAGATTAGGTAATAAACCTAATGTGTTTTATTTTACATCGTAAGTCATACGACAATACAGCGAATTGTGTTGTTTAAATGACTACTGGGCCAGGTAACCTCTCCCAGGTGCCTTCCAGTTCTGAGTCTAAGATATTTGTTATTCAGAACTCTGAAAGAGACTCTGTCTAGTCTTCTTAGTAACTTAAAGATAACTTTTAAAATGCTAGCTGCAGTATTACCTATTAGCAAATATTAATGACTCTTAAAGTTATTTCTGTAAACATAATGATCATTCACCAAAAATGCCTTGCTAATAATGTGTGGTACAGTTATTAGCTGTCATTCATTAGAGAATGACTTCAGAGAGCATAATGCAGTGTCTACAGTGGAGAGCAAAGGCCAGTTCTGTTTGGCAGCACTCAGCTCAGTCCCAAGAATATGTAAATATTCAATCCCTTTTTCTGCCCAGTAAATTATGTACTCTTGGAGGCATTAGTTTTTTTTTCAGACCTCTGGACCTCTGTGAGTGCACTGAAGCAAGGATTCTAAGTGATTCTGTTCTGCTGTGAAATTTAACTTCAGCTTCTAGAATCTCTCAGCACTCCCATGGGAATAGCTCTTGTATGAGAGAATCAGGCTTCTCTCATACTATGAATAGCTCATAAGTTCTCAAGCGTGGCATCATTTAGGACAAATGTCTTGAGCCTTACAACATTCTTCTTTGTTTTCCAAGTGAAGTATCATTGAACTGAGCCAAGAATGGTTTTAGAACTCAGTTTCAGGGGTTTTCATGGAATATTTCCTCATCTGTTCTCAATTTATAGACATGATTGATTTCCTACTCTTTTCATTTCTTGTTCCATTTGCAGATTTTCTGTGAATAAACTTGAATGTGTGAAGTTGTAGTGGGAAGACTTTGTGCAAATTAAAGGGTAGAGATTAAGGGGAAAGAATGTGAGATGAAGAAAGGCTGGGTGTGGTGGCACACATGTAATCCCAACACTCAGTGGCTAAGCCTGGATGAACTCAAATTCAAGGCAAGAATGGGGTACGTAGCAAGTTTCAGTCTAGCCTGAAAAAAAAAAAAGAGGACATGAAAGTTCTCATGCGGCCCAGCCTGTTCAGAATTAGAGGCCAGCACACATGGGAGATGGAAGGTGTATGGCAGCAGCCTTCCCAAGGCTTGGCTTTGGAATCATTAGATGCCAGTTACGTTTTGTTCTTAGAATGGGATAGGGTAAAACCAAGGAAAAGACAGTTGGTGGTGTTTTTTTTTTTTTGCTCAGCTTTGTAAGTATGTTGATACATCTATATAGAAACTGTCCCTCGCATCTCCTGTTTCTATTTCACATGACACACTGAGGTCTGGCCAGGTCCTGGGTCATTATATTACCATTCAGTTTTCCAGAAATAAACGACACTTTAGTTTTGTGGCTTGAGAATTGTTGTGGCCCATAGTGTAAAAGTAGGCCCAGGATCCTCTAAAAAATCTAACTTCCTGCCCTTCTTTTGAGAACTCAGGCATGGCTTTGGACTTGGCAGTAGTATATAGGTGGAAAGCATTAAATATCTGTGTTTCAATGCACTAAGTTTGTGATCAACTTCCATGTGTGTGGCTGCTGTTAACTTATGTCTTATAAATGCCGCAGCAGAATGGTCAGAACTCTGTTTCTATCTGAATTTCCATAATGAAGACTGAACCAGCTGATCATACCTGGGCCTCAATCTTAAGTAGTCATCTAGACTAGAGTGTACTTTTGGGGGCTTCTCAAAGTAGACCATGCCAGTACTTTTAAGTCCAAGCCAATTTCCTGAAGGAGGTTTAAGTTGGTGCCAAAGAAAACAAAATCTAAACTCAAAGTTCATGATGTAAAAACCAAAAATCAAGAATAAGGTAACTCGGGCCAGGGATTTAGCTCAGTAGTACTGTGCCTGCCTCGCAAGCACAAGGTCCTGAGTTCAATCCCTGGTACCAAAAAAAAGGAATAAAGTAACTTGAAGGGAGAGCAGTCAAGAATAATTGAAGATGTTCTCAATTTCCAGGGGTAGATAGTATATTAACATTGACAGTTCTAGACCATTCAGTTTCATTTGAAGAGTGTTCTACATATTCTTCACAGGGATGAGAGTGTTTGAAGAGGGGTAGAAAAGGTTGTAGTATACTGGTGTTTGACTTCCTGAGTGCTTGATTCTGTTATTAATTTTATAGATAATTCTTGGCATAATAGATATTTTGATGCATTTATGAAAATATGTAGTACTCTTTTATTATTTTACTCCAAGACAAAAAGACGGAATTAGGAAATGTATATAGTTAATTTCATTAATAAGGAATAATTCTTCAAAGATTTGGTCTCCAGAGGAAAATACGTGTGGTCAACAGCTGTACCTAAAGGATTGTACCACGAGATGGTGCTCTTGTGTTAGTCATCTGTTTTTCAAGCAGTTTTCTTTAATTGTCCAAACTTTGGAGTCTAAAACATGTGATGGATTTTGGTATTTATCTGTTTTTGCATCTTTTAGTGCAGGTTTCCTTAACACTTAAATACGTTTGTGTTTTTAATTTAAGATGATTAATTCAACATATACCTTGTTTTGGAAGATAAAGCCAGCAATTCCACGTTTATTTTGCTCTCAATATCTTTTATTATGTAATTTTTGAGATGCTGAATCAAAATATGTACTTTTGCCAAGCTCATTTTATTCTTTCCTCTTCTTTAAACACAAGACTGTGCAGCATAAACTAGCAGAATTAAAAACACACATATGTGTAACCAGAGCTTTTGTGGACAGCTGTCTGCAGCTGCATGAAACGAAACATCTGGACTCTGCCTCTGCTTCCATGGCGAAATATTGGTATGCCTGCTACAGGAATTAAAACATGGGGTGTGCTCAGGCTGCTATGGGATTCTGCCAACTCCAAACTCAGCTTTGGGGGTATAAATGAAAATAGGAGTAAGGATCGACTTTTTTTAAACTGCTGAAAAGTCCCATTAGGCCTATTTATATGTGCTAAAAATTACTCAAGTTAGTATTTAATTCATAACTTGCTATTGAAAATAAAATATTGAGACTGAAATAGGATGACTGATTAGTTCATTCAAGTAACAGTTTAGTTTCAAATTATCTGAAGTGAGTCAGTATAGTGAGACTGAAAGAGAACAGGAAGAGTTAGGAGTCTCGAAATACTATAAGTCACAGTTCTTCCATTAAGTAATTCTAACCAAACTTCATTCTTCCTGGGACAGCTTTTTGCTATCTGAAATGATTAGGTTAGACAGGATTTTTCTTTTCTTTATTTTTGGTACCGGGGATCGATCTCAGGCCCTTGCACTTGCAAGGTAGGCAGCAGCACCACTGAGCTAAATCCCCAGCCCTAGACAGGATTTTTCTATTTGAAGTGTTTTCCAGATCTAAGAAAAAAATTATTGAATGAGTGACTGTCTAATCAAAAGTCACACGTGCTTTATTAAATGAAAAGAACAAGGTATTCTGTTTAGAAAGACTTTCATTTGAATTAAAGATGATTAACAATGGTGTTAAAGATGAATTAATTGAAAAAAGATCCCTATAAGACTTTTATGTATTTTAAAATGCAAGAACATAGAATTTAAATCAGATTGTGGAAGTGGATTTAGTTTCCTCTTTAAGAAATTCTTACATCTCATTAGGCCAAAAGTAGCCTTGAAAAAAATTCCTGTCATTATTCATTAACTTGGGTTCAGCTTAGGTCATATGTAGAATAGGGGAAATATGCAGAATAGTGCTTTATATAATGATTGCACATAAGAAATATGACAATTTGAAAAGTAACATGAAATTACTAGAAATTAGAACTTTTAGTGGAGATTTTCTATGTTTATAGCAAGTTCTTTGACTAGTGTGAAAAGTATAAAAATTTTAGATATTTTGGAGAAAAAAGTTTGCATAGTTACTAACCTGTTCCTTGAAAACACCAGGTTTATAGACATAGTGTTCTTTAACATAGAAGTAAGGAGAGCAACTAGTTATAGCTCAATAAATATTTCACTAAAATACTTGCCAGATATAGAAAATTACTGAATTCTAAGTTTCATTGCAACCCAGAGATTTGTCTGTTTAGAAACATCACCTGTCCTATGGCTTGAGTTAAAATTACTTTAAATAGAAAAATATGTCTATGGTTACCTTTGCCTTACGTTTTCAAGTATTGAAAAATAGAAAAGGGTTTTGAATGAACTTATATTTTTATCTTAACCTGAATAAAATCCCTACTATTAGAGTTTTTATTATAGTTAAAATTATTACTAAGAGTGGTAGTGGCTCTCATCTCACATGTGAGAAGCCCTGGGTGTGATCCCAGCACTGCAAAGCAAACAGAATTGTGTGATGAGGTCAGAAAAAACTTTTTCTCACGTTCTTTTGTAGTCTTCCTCTGAAGAATAACCCTACATAACTTTTTGATGTTTCCTATATAATGGAATGTACTTTAGTAGGCTACCCTCCTCGGTTTTCACTTTTGCCTTCAGTTTATTTCTGGCAAGTCAGTAACTTAAACATTTTTTTCACCATTTTTGGAATTCAGAATTGTAATCTTTAGGAAGAAAGAAACATCTTTGAAAAATAACATTACAAAGAGAAAAGGAACTAGATGGCAGGGTAAATTAGATCATACAGAGAATCTAAACAAATTACACCTAATTCATTCTTCACTATACCCTTTTCAAGCTGGAAATAGCCAAAACCTAATAGTCTTAAGTTTTTACATTTTGTTTCTAGCCTTAAGAAAAATTCACCCTGAAATAAAAATTAAGGAAGGTATTCTTTTATGTGAAAGTTCTCTTGACATTTATTTTATATGTAATTTTTATCATGTCTTTTTTAGTATGATTATAAGACATCTCATTAATATTTATTTTACACTTTTCTGCTGTTTATTTTGGTCATCCAGGGCATCTGAGCTACAAAACAGTGTAGCATATGATTGTGTACAGCTCCATGGAGGATGGGGATACATGTGGGAATACCCGATTGCAAAGTGAGTATGATGCTTATGTTCTTCTTAAAGATGTAAAAGAAAAATTTTTTTTTACTTTGTACATCAAGTGTAGAGAGAAAGTACAAAAGTTTTGTATTTTTCAGGTGACTGCAGAGTATGTTCAATGCAAATGGAAGCAGCTTTTTTTTTTATCAACTCAGCACTAGAATTGTTATTTTTAAGGAAAGTAAATAGATCAGTATACCAAAAACTTGATGCTTGGCTTGGCTTTGAAGAATACATATCACTTTGTGTCACTATTGTTTTGTTTTTACAGTGCTAGAGATTGAACCCAGGGCCTTGCACATCTAGGTAGTGTGTGCTACCTCTGAGCTACACTCCGAGCAACTTTTTAAAAGCAAACAAACAAAAGTAGCAAAACAGAATAATTAACTTGTATACTAAAAGGATATGATATATCATACCTTAGATATTTGATTATTTTGCTTGGAAAAATAAGTGTTTATTTTTTCCAAATAGAATTTTCATCTCTTCAAATTAAAGGAAATTAAATGCACCTCTTTATTGTATTACAAATGAATACTGTTAGCTTGAAACAACAGCAGTTTGTAAACAGAGAATGACATCTTCCTTACTTCTCCCTGTATTTCCATCGTTTCCTCTTTCCTTCTTCATTTGGTCTTCTGTCTCAGTCTTCTCATGACAGATTTCATCATCACCTTAGAAAATATATTTTTGGGCCGGGGATTTAGCTGAGTGGTTCTACCGGTTGCTTTGCAAGCGCAAGGACCCGAGTTCGATCCCTGGTACCAAAATATATATATAGATATAGATATATCTATATATCTATATCTATCTATCTATCTATATTTTTCCTCTTTCCCTTTTTCTGTTTTTGGCATTACAGGGGATTAAACCCTGGGCCTTTGCACTGAGCTACATCCTCAGCCCTTCTTAAATTTTTTATTTTGGGATAGGGTCTTGCTAAAATCACCAAGTTGCCCAGGCTAGACTTGAACTTGACATCCTTCTGCCTCCACCTCCCAGAATGCTGACATTACAAGCATGCACCACCACACCTGCTTTTATCTTTCATCACAGTATTTTCAGTTTATAAAATTTTGCAGAGGAAGCTTTGGATATATATTTAGAAATGTCCATCTTAATTCTGAATTTGAGGATAAGAATGCTATGGGCTTCTAAAAACTTCTGCTAATTTTTATCTGAATATAGGCTATTTAAATAAAAAATTATCAAATTTGTATTCAAACTGCCTAATGCTTTTGAAAATATCAGTTTTACAAGTATAATTTAAAAACTGTGATATGCTTATAATCCTTACAAAGGAAGATGAACATTTTATTGGAGTCTCAAGAACAGAAGCTGTAACATAGATATAATTTGCTAATTTTCTCTGGTCACTGGCAACTCAGAAAGCTTTCATTTACTAGATATCATTTATAAACCTTTGTAAAAGCTCAGCAATAACCAGGGTTGTTACTTTCTTTAAGAATGTAGTCATGAAATACCTGAATGATTCCTTTTTGTTTTTTTAATCAATCCTTGGAGTTGAGCTTTGGTTTGTCCTTTCAGAACTACTTTGAATAGACCTTAAGGCAGATTTTTTGTGTGTGTGGTACTGGAGATCGAACCTACACCCCCAGTCCTTTTTTATTTTTTTATTTTGAGACATGTTCTCAATAAGTCACTAAGTTGCCCAGTTTGGGCTTGAACTTGTGATGCTTCTACCATAGCCTCCCAGAGTGCTGGGATTGCAGGCTTGTGCTGCCACACCCAGCTAGCAGATACTTTTAATCTTTGTATAGTCATGAAATAAATATTGAGTGAGCTAGCACAAACTTAATCGTCACTGGAATGTTTCCTGTACATTTTCTGTACATATGTTTTATTCAGAGAATTCATCCATAATATTCATAATATTCACTGTGTTTAGAAAGTAACATAGAAGTAGAGTTTATATTTTTTTGCTTAACTGTTTTAACTGCAGCCAGGAATGTAGTGGAATGGAGTGGTTTCATGTTTGTGTACTTCAGTTCAGGTTCCAAGAAAGACACACCAGATGCAGAGGAGTCAGCCATCTGAATCGTTTCAGATTAGCATGGTATAAACTGGTCTGTTTTCTCAGAGTTCTTGCCTTCATATCAGTAGCAACAAAGACTTTATGACTTATTTCAAATTCCTGTTTTCAGTTTGAAAGACTTGTATTTACCGTAGGGAATAATAATTATCTTCTTGGCACCCTTGTTAGTTCAAAGATTGTACAACTCTTTAGACTATTTCTCTCCACAAAGGCAAAGGGATTCTTAATGTTACCTAAAATCAAATAAGCTGATTAGACACATAAGGTAATATGTGGATGTAGAGTGCAGACTTTGATTTAAGGGAAGAAAATCCATCTATTTGTGCTTCTTCCATCCCCCAGATTAAGCTGCATTGCTTGTTAATACATATATAATTTATTGCTGAGTCTTGGTTTCACAGGTGAAAGAGGTTTTTGTTCCCCCATATCTGTTTTTTCTTTAATAAACCCAGCATGTGGGTTTATTTGTCTTATTCGTTGGAGTGAGACTGTGAGTAATGGAAGCTAAATCATGGACATTTGAAGACTTCTCTGTCTGCTAGGAAAGGCAGCCTGAGATGAAGAGCTTCATTGCAGTGTAGTTAAACATTTCTTCTGCTGCTATTCTCTGTTAATTTTAGTTGATGACCAAATTTAATTAGTAACCTATAAAAAGTCCACTGATCTCTGTCATTACATACCCCATTGGAACTTCTTTATTGTGAGAAAAAAGTGCCCTGCCCTGTCTAAAATTGTCTAAGAGCATTGGAATTGCTGAAGTAGGCTAAAATGCCAGGAAGGTTCTCAAAGTGCAAGTGCCTGCTTTTGAGGAAAACAACAAAATCCATCCAGAAAAGAGTATTGTATAAAAACCATAAATGTCTAGATTTAAAAACTTCCATCAGAAAATACTAAGGTTCTAAATTTCTTTTGTAATACACTGAATCATATCAATAAATATTTACTGAGTGCCCATTTCTGTTTGCAAGGTACCTTGATGAATATGAAGAAGCCTAAATTCAGAGTTGTCTTGATAATTAGATAATTAGCAAAAGATTTTAATTGAGAAAAAAATGCCTTAGATTTTGTCTACTAGAAAATTTTAAAGCTTAATTAGCCCCAAATGCCCAGTCATTGAAGAATTGTGCCATAATAAAAATACTTTCAAAGAGCTATATTCTCATTGCAATCTGTGACCAATAAATGGTATCGTAACCATTAATTAGTAGATCCTCTGAATCTAGGTTCTTCTACATGCAAAATGTTCATAATCTTTATCCTCCTAATCCCAGAGCTAAGAGGTGAAATAGAGATGAGAAAAAATAAAATAGCTGTACAGTGGCATGGTACCCATTGTGGCTGTTAAAAATGAGCTGACAGCATGGCTGTCTGTATGAGGGTGGCAGTGGACTCCGACTTAGTATGTTAATCCCGTAAGTCACCAGAGTGGCTGTTAATCATTTCCAAAGAGTAATTTACTTTTATCTTCATGGAAGTAGTATTTTGTAAAGCATCAGTTTATACTCCTGGTGGTGGTAGTCATGATGTAAACTAAAAGAATAACAGAAAATAACTAATTTCTCTAGTTTTTCTTTTCCTTTAAAACCAGTATATTTCAACTTCCTGAGAAAATACTAAAAGACAGCAAAAAATTAAGATTTCCATGCATTTCAAAAATTGAAACATACTTTTCAGAATGCTTTTATAGGTGCTAGATTTTATAAAATTAAATCAATATAAATTATATTTTGAATTTGTAATCTCTAAGCAAACTAAAAAAAAGCTATATAAATTATCAATGCCTTAATAAATTTTTAAGTATATCAACCTAAGATGAATGTTATACTGGGAAAATAAGTTACAAAGAATTTTAATTGCTTGAATTTCATTAAATGTATACTTTAAAAGTTACCTGGTAAAATGAACTCTTAAATTTCTAATATCTTCTATTTATATAAATTCAATTATCTTCTAATTTATCTAGAGCTTATGTGGATGCCCGAGTTCAGCCAATCTATGGTGGTACCAATGAAATAATGAAGGAACTGATTGCAAGATCTATCGTCCGTGACCAGTAGGCATCTGCCCACATCCTGGAATCCTATTACAGCTAATCAGGTTTTAAATCTACTGAAGACAAAGCCTAAACTGGAAAAGGAGGAGCATGGCAAGTGCTTTTTATGTGCTCTGTCCTATAGAGAAAGAAATCAAATACAGATTAACACAGAGGAAGAGAAATTTTTGAATCCAAAATATAAAATTTTCTCATAAAAAGTTTAATTTTTTTATGTAGAAGTCAAAGATTTTTTTTTAACCCTAGAAGCCTTAATATTTCATTTATCTCTAAAATTCTGAAAAGTATTAATTATATAAATCCTTAGAATTGAAGCAGAACTAATTTTATATTGTCATGTTTGGTATAAAAACATTAATAACATTGACCATGCACTTGTAAAGGGGAAAATAAAAATAATTTAGAATTTTTTTATGTAGAAGTCAAAGATTTTTTTTTAACCCTAGAAGCCTTAATATTTCATTT